TCACTGGTGCAAGGTGCTATTAGCTAAGCCTGATATGTCTTCTAGCATGTACCTTTTGGTTTGATAACCCTTTATGGATCCCAACCCTGCCCTGTACTTATCTACTGTTTCCTTGTGCCCCTAGAAGCATTTTTTTAGACTTTGCCCTTTAACTTTGAGTCTGATGAAAATAAAGTCATTCACTGAGCAGCATGTTTACCATTGCTTTTGTAACCTCCATTGTTACATTGTAGTTGTGTGGTTTACAAATCGCATCATCTTAGTTTTCTGGCTCTGGAGGTGACTTGATCTTACAACTACACCCATTTTGAGGTGCAACTTTATTGCAATGGAAAAAGACCAGAAAAATATAGGGCAGAGTCAATTCAAGTTGAGCTGAGCCGTAACATTATCAATGACCCCTCACCCCCCACCATGGACAGTTCTCCCAGCTGCCCTCTAGGAAGGGGCTTCAAAGCATCAGATGCAGGTCCAGCAAATTCCAAAACAGCTTTTTCCCCACTGCCATTAGACTGCTGAATGTTAAAAAAAAAAAAAAAAAAGGAAAAACTGTAAATCATATTTCGGTCTTAGTTTACATTTGATCACCATGTTTACATTTGATCATTACATATGATCATACGTAAACATTACATATCACTGCTACATTTCAAGAAATAGAAATATCTTGAGAGCTGTACTCAATTAAATGTTGTTTTCTATACACCCTGTGTGTACAAAATGACAATAAAGTTTGTCTAAGTCTAAGTCTAGCAAAGGAAAAGGGCCACTGTCAAACATTCCTCCCTTATAGCTAAAGAGCTGTTTGCTTTCTTTGACAGAGTTGTCCTTCATGTTATGTAGAGATGACATTAAAATGTTACAAATGGCTGGTTTGACTTTAATGTCTATTACCATATCGACACAACATAATCAGTCATTTTGACTTTGAAGCTAACAGAACAGCAGCACATTTGAACAACTTAACTTTCACTCCATATCCCCATTAAGTTAAACCAATAATTAAAATATTGTTTTATATTTCAGTATAAGAACCACTCTTAAAAGATTATTTCTTTTAAATGTAATCAATCTATAGTAGCTCTCAAACATATTAATACTCCATGGATTTTTCCACTTATTGTGTTGTAAAACAACAAACCTCTTTGTATTTTATGGGTTTATTATTATGAGATAGACTAAATGGAAAAAAAAATCTAAACTACAAGGAAATGTAAAAGGAAATTTAATTTCTTTCAGAAATCTGAAAAACTACAAGAGCATATTTAAATGTTGGGGGTTGCACAGTGGCACAGTTTGTAGCACTGTTGCCTTGCAGCAAGAAAGTCCTGGGTTTGATTCCCAGCCTAGGGTCTTTCTGCATGGAGTTTGTATGTATTCTTCAGATACTCTGGTAAGTTTAATTGCTTTATGTCTCTGGGTTACACTGTGATACACTGCTCTTAATAATGGGGAAAAGGAAGCTGTGTTATATTTGTCAAACACAATGTCCCATGTGCCATCAATGTCCTCTGTATTTTCTGACTGGCAAACTCATTAGCCCAGATTTGTACTTTTTATTACATTTAAGCACGCTACAACTCAGAATCATTGCAGCCCATGTCCTGTGACAGAATGAAGGTTTTGCCTCATGTCAGCCAGTGAGACAGTAGCTGACACACTGACGCAGTGAATGATGGCTTTTCATGAAGAGGAATGGCAGCCTTACAGACCACAAGCTGCTCTCAAATGTTCCTGTCTGACCTATCTGCACTGTGTATTTGTATGCAGGCACAGGATGTGTTTCTTAAACCATTTATTGACCAAGGCCTCCACTTATTTCCTGGAGTGGCACAATGTAGGAAAGCGGCTTTTTTCAGTAAACTAAACTATCCTTTCACAAATCATGTCTGTTATAAAAATGGAGATGCCGTCTATTTATTCATATATATATATTAATTTGAGCTGTTTTAATTTTAGGGTAATGTTAGTCACTTAATGTAGTTAGTCTGTGTAAATTGTAAATGGTAAAAAAAATCTGTCTCAAGCTATGTATTATGGGGAAAAGCCTTCTAAACATATCACATCGTCTGAGCTCTTTGAAGCAACTTTTAGGGTTATAACCACAGTGAACATTATTTAATGTCATATATCCTCTGCACATGATAATGTCTCCTGAGCTCAATCATTTAATCCACAATGATGCGTAAAGTGGCAAATCTCAGCAGGGATTACAAATAGGATATTTGCTCACTTGCCTTATACCTCAGCAGATTAATTTAAAAAGTATTTAATACATTTGACAGGAAAAGTTCTCTAGAATATGCACAGTCGACAGTTTATAACTAACTAAAAAGAAATTTTTGGATACTATCAACCACATAACTACACATTCTTTGAAAAACCTCTCACAACATCCTCAAATTAATTTATATAACAATTTTTATTTAGTTATTTCACTTTTTTTGCCTAATATACTCCTAGAAGACTGCTGTCATAAATCCAATTAAAACCAAAACAATCTATTCTATTAGTAAATAAAATAAAAAGGGAAATGATTTATTAAAAAGTTACATAAAGTATGTTAATCACAAATACAGATAAATTATAACATTAACCCAATAAAAACATAGATTCATTGTTGAAAATTCAACATTTTCACTAATTTAACAGATAATGTTTTTTTTACATAATTGTTATTCCCATTTTTTATGTAGCATTCAGCAGTGCAGTTGTATATGGGTTAAATTATGAAAATATATATCAATTCAGTAGAAGTTTAAAACTATTATGAGAATTGTACTTAAAAAGTATTTGATTAATTTGATTAATGATATTGCTGTTGCATAAGTCAAACTTGCAGGTGTAGATCATTAGATGTGTTTGACTAAAAAAGTTTGAAGTCTTACCATTATACAATAGTTAAAATGGAGCACTAACAAACTTCTTATTTAATGTCACCCTTTAACAGTGTCAAAAAAAAAGGAAAAAAAAGTGCACCATAATAATATTTCAGGGATCATTGACATTTTTAATCTCCAAAAAAATTTTTTTTTTATTAAATGAAAGCATACCTCACCTTAAATATAACAATTTAAATCTAAACGTTGTTATGTTAACGTCGTAAAGAGCCTAGAGTAAGTGCATCTATCATCGACTAGCCTGTAAGATCAGCCTCTTCTGTGTTAAACTACTAAAAGGAGGATCTCTTCCTCACAACGTGGGCTTGTGTTGCCCGCTGGAGGCGAGATTGGGAAGCACAAGCAGATGGGATAGAAACAAGAAAGGCACCATATTTCCCTGTCCCTGCTCTGTTACTCATAGCCAGTTGCGGCCACCGTCGGACTTCTCAGCACGGGGGAAGATTTCGGTAAAGCAGGGTGCAAACTTCAACCGGCCAAAACTGTGTCTATGTTCAGTGGCGAAGAATAGAGTGAAGGGACAGAGAGAGAGAGAAACATATAGGGAGCAATGTTAACTCAGGTCTATTCCAATTAAATAAGTAATTAAAATGATAATACGGGGACACTCAAAGAGAGTAAGGGCGACTTGCATCCAATCTGGGATCCACAGGTCTTGCGCGCAAACGGATTCTTAATTATTTTCTACAGACGCGCGCTCCCATCGCCGCAGCTAGAGCGCTTCTTCTCTCCTCTCATCACTACTTCCTTTCCTCCTCTCGACAGCATCCAGAACTATAGAGCAACCGTCCCCCATCACTCGTGTTGCCCCCCCAACCCACCCTCCCTCACTTCTCTCACTGCCAGATTTCTCTCCTCTACTTCTCCCATATCTTCGCAACCCTCTCTCTAGTTCAGTCCGTCACTTTCTGTGACGCACGACAGGGGGAAAAACCAAGTCGAGGCCGCTATGATCCACATACTCGTAGCCTACCACTGTCAGTGTGCTGACAGAGATGGGCTCCTCCTGAAGCCGATTGGAGAACTCTCTCACCCGGGGTTGTTTTAGCGATCGCCCGAGAGGCGGTTCGGGAGGAGGAGGCGGTGGTGGAAAGGGGAGGAAAGGAAGAGGATGGGCAGAAGTAGAAGACTTGCATTTTAAACAAACTACTTAGAAAAAAAGAGAAGAGAGAGAGGGTCAGTATCACCGGAGTGCAAGAGAGAGAGAGAGAGAGAGAGAGAGATAGGGGGGAGAGATCGCATTCTTATCACGTCTACGTTTCTCTTCTCTCCTCTCTTTCGCTACAGCCACTAAGAGAGAGTGAGGACAGGGGGGAAGAGAAAGAGAGAGAGTGCGAAAAAAGGAAGAGAAGAGGAAAACGAGAGAATTACCAAATTGAAACTACTGATCTTTTTTTTCCCAGATGCTTTCCAATTGCATAACAAAATCAAGGTGAGCAGAACTATTTCGTGTGGATTATGGAGAAGTATTTTTATTTTTTTTATTTTTTCGTTTGATTTTTGTGTGTGGGTTTCCGAGCTTTTACTGATGTCTGCATAGCGCTGGACTTTAAACATGGAGACAGCGAGCAAGGATAACGGAGAGCACCTCCTACTAATCAATACACGTTTTGCTCTAGCTTTTAGTCCACATTTTCATGGCCAATGTCAACGCGAAAGCCTGCATTATGCTTGGCATTTATTCCAACACGCGCCCTGCTGCTCCTTTTTTTTTTTTTTTTGAGTGAGAGTGGGTGTGGGGGGTGTCTTAGGTTGGCACCAAATCAGAGACCGTTCCTTCTAGACCGGAACTTGTTCATCATCATTTTTCCCACACTAACTGCGAAGATGTGTGTTGAAAGACACTCGTCCTTTTAATGGAACCTGGTTGAAATTGACCAATTCCTGACAAGCAGTACCTCTTTTTTTAATTCATCCGGGGCTCATTCTCATGCGCATCTCCTCCTCATCTTACTCTCCCCCCCACCCCCTCAGTGCCCCGCTGTCTCTGTCCATGTCCTTCTTTGTGTTTTCCCCGTTCAGACGGCTCAGCCACCCTCCTCATTTTTTTTTCGTTCTCTCCCTCCTCCCTTACAGCCCGGCATCGGACCGTGAGACGCGGGACGCACCGGGCCACGACAGAACAAATCATCGCAGAAGGAGGATATGTGAAGTTGGAATTCCACTAAACTAAGTATGTATACCACTCGATACGATGCAGCAAATGGGAAAATGTTATGGTCCACAATTCGCTCCGTCTCATGAAATGTTTTCTTACTTTTTGACACCCCATCTGGCTTTGTGATCTCAATAACATGGAGGTGGAATCAAATCCTGTTGGATGACTCATGGAATGGGGAGTAAAACTTAAATAAAAAGAACTCTTTTTTTTCTTTCTTTTTTTTTTTTTGCCATCAGGTACACTTGTCACATTTTTTTGTGGGATTACTGCATCTGTCCTTCCTATTACAGTACCGCGTTGTTGCCTTCAGCACCACGGACAGCGATTTTACCTGCGCCAATGGAAGCGCCTCTCTGTATTTTTTTGAAACAGCGAAGTGAATACATGAGTTTTCCATAACAGCAAAAATTTCAAGCGCTTTGCTACTGTTTTTTATTTTTTGAAGAGATGAGGAGGCATACAGACAGTGAGATTGACAATAATAGAAATGCATTTATTTAGCCAAAGCATAATTCAATTCATATTAGACGTTTTTATTTTTCATTTTTTAAGCAGTGGTCAATTTTTTGTTGTTAATTCATTGCTTGTAGTTTTTACTGTTTCACTCTTAGCGTAAGGTTGTCGGGCTCTGGAAAAAAAGCTTTCCCCACAGCTGGGTTTCTCAAAGCAGAAGTATCCACTGCTCTTTTCACTTGTACAATAATTTCTATTACCCTAAAATAGCTGGAGAGATTATTAAACATACAATATTAGTGTTGAAACAGCAATAAATAAAGTATTGGAATAAAATATATTTCCTGGCATAAGGCATAAGGTTTAAATAAGTGAAAACACAAGAAGCAAAGTACTGTTTTCTAATTTTTTCTGAATATCTGACTACTTTTTTCTCACTTTCACTTTAAAATTGCAACACTATACAATGTACCTTAGCAGCTTTAAATAAGTCTTAGACAGAGAAATACATAGACCGTCCGACTGGCTTAATTAAAAAAAAAAAATTATATTGTAGCACTAACTTTTATTTTCCAGGTTAACATTTTTGAATGCTTCTGTAGCAGCACAATAACATTCATATTTTAAGAGATGGTTATTAGGTTCTTGTTATGCATTAAACAAAGCGAGGGGCAGTGTCTCTTCAACGCTACTCCTCCTCACCCACTTTTCTCTTCGTTTATTCATAGCGATAAGCATCTCTGCTGTGATTTATTGCGACCTTAACAGCACATCTGCTGTATAATAAATGGCATTTCAGGCTTTATAGTGAAGTGTGATGCCTGATTGCAGAAAGCTATTTGTATTCTCAGGTATCATATTATCAATTTAAAAGTATAGAGTTTTATATATAGAAGGAAAGTAATATTGCAGACTGTGTCCAGCATCCTTCTATTATTCATAGGTATTCATTTCAAAGCTGCCTTTGATTCTGCTGCAACTAATGCGCTCTTTCTCATATATATAGTATATATATATATTTAATTTATTTAATGTCTCTCCACCTCAAACTTATCTTTGTTATGATGTGTATTTGTGTGTAACAATTAACCCTATACCTTCACTCTGATTTAATCTAACCATGTGTTTACTGTTCTCTGTTGCAGTGCTGTGAAGTGGCTCTGTCCCTAGAGCTGAAACTTCATTGCCGTGGTGTCAGCGAGGATGCTCTGGGTTACCTTGCTGAGCACCATAGCCTTAGGATGGACCACTCCAATTCCACTGCTGGAGGACTCAGAGGAGATCGACGAGCCCTGCTTCGAGCCGTGCGACTGCGAGGTCAAAGAAGGCATCTTCCATGTCCACTGTGACAGTAAAGGATTTACAAATGTCAGCCAAATCTCTCAAATTTGGAGCCGACCCTTTAAGCTCAACCTGCAGAGGAACTCAATGAGGAAGCTCTACTTCAACAGCTTCCTCCATCTTAACAATGCTATATCCATCAATCTCGGTAATAATGCCTTGCAAGACATACATGCTGGGGCATTCAATGGCTTGGGAATACTCAAACGGCTTTTTCTCCATGAGAACAAGTTAGAAGTTTTCCGAAATGACACATTTCTGGGGTTGGATAGTCTAGAATATCTCCAGGCAGATTATAATGTCATTAAAAGGATTGAAAGTGGTGCATTTAGGCACCTTCACAAATTAAGAGTCTTAATATTAAATGACAATCTCATACCCGTGCTGCCAAACTATCTTTTTCGGTCTGTGTCCCTTACACATCTGGACTTGAGGGGTAACAGACTAAAGACATTGCAGTATAAAGGCACATTGGAGTATGTTGGGCGGAGCTTGATGGAAATCCAGCTAGAGGAAAATCCTTGGAACTGTGTGTGTGAGATTGTTCAGTTAAAAACATGGCTGGAGAGAATTCCCTACACAGCATTGGTGGGAGAGATCACATGTGAGTACCCATTCCACCTACATGGAAAAGACCTGCGGGAAATTAAACGCAACGAGCTCTGTCCTCTGCTCTCTGATGCAGAGATTGAGGCCAAGCTGGGAATTCCCCGGGTGCCATTCAGCAACGAGAACACTCAGCCTACAAAACCTTCCCCCATGATCTCCTCCGTTCACAACACAGCCTCTTCTGTGGAGTACAAGGAAAGACCTGTGAAGCCTACCAAACGACCCCGGCCGACAAAGAACCCCCCTACCCCTCGTAGCATCTACCCAGGCCTCAACCAACCGCCAATTGCTGGTTACCAAACAAGACCACCCATTCCAATAATTTGTCCAGCTAGTTGTATTTGCAACCTTCACATCAATGATCTGGGATTAACAGTAAACTGTAAAGACAAAGGCTTTCACAACATTTCGGAGCTTCTGCCAAGACCCCTAAATGCTAAAAAGTTGTATCTTAGCGGGAACCTAATACAGAAGATCTACCGATCAGATTTCTGGAACTTCTCAAGTTTGGATTTATTGCATTTAGGTAACAACCGGATATCCTATGTTCAAGAGGGTGCGTTTATTAACTTACCAAACTTAAAAAGTTTATATCTGAATGGTAATGACATTGAGTGGCTCTCTCCTGAAATGTTCCGTGGACTTCAGATGCTAAGTTATCTTTACTTTGAATACAATGTCATCCGTGAGATCCAGCCTAATTCGTTTTCCTTAATGCCCAATCTGCAGCTGGTTTTTCTCAATAATAACTTATTAAGGTCACTCCCTGATGAGGCTTTTGCTGGCACCAACCTTGCACGTCTTAATCTCCGTAGCAATTACTTTGTTTCTCTGCCTGTTCATGGTGTCCTAGAGCATCTCACTTCCATTGTGCAGATTGATCTTCATCAAAACCCCTGGGACTGCTCTTGTGATATTATCCCTCTCAAACAATGGCTAGAAAAGCTCTCCTCTGTCATTGTAGTGGGAGATGTGATCTGCAAGACACCTGAGTATGCTTCTGGAAAGGACCTGCGCTTGCTTGAGGTGGAGGTCATCTGCCCAGAGCTGAAGCTTTACTCAGGTCCCTCTCCAGCTCTACCTAGTGGTTATGACCTAACCACAGGAAGCTCCGAAATGGGTAAAGCTGGTGGGAGAGGAGCTGTCCCGCTATCAGTGCTCATCCTCAGCCTACTTATCCTCTTGATTTCAGCTGTCTTTGTGACTGCTGGGCTCTTTGCCTTTGTCCTCCGTCGCAGGAAGAAGCTACCTTTCCGGAAGCGTTCCGAGGTGGACCTAACAGGGATTCAGATGCAATGTAGGATTTTTGAGGATCCACCAAGGCAAAACAGTGCTGGGAACACTGGCACACCGGAGAAACCAGCGCCCAATTTGCACACACACTCACAAACTACTCACACACATGCCCATGGCCATGTTTATGATTACATCCCCCATCCTGTTACTCAAATGTGTAACAACCCTATCTATAAACCTAGAGAAGGAGAGATTGCCGAGGAGGAGAGGGCACAGTTTGCAGAAAAGAAAGACAATGGCAGTAGTAGCAACAGTAACTACAGAACCTTGTTGGAAAAAGAGAGAGAGTGGACCTTGGCGGTCTCCAACTCTCAGCTTAATACCATTGTTACAGTCAACCACACCACAGCGGACATGTCAGGATTTCATGAAAATGGAGGGCTCTGCCCTACAGTTATTGACAGTCAGAGGCCCACACCAACAGTGGGCTTTGTAGACTGTTTGTATGGAACAGTACCGAAATTAAAGGACATGCATGTTGCACATGCACATCCACCAGGCATGCAGTACCCAGATCTACAGCAAGATGCACGTCTGAAGGAGACATTGCTTTTTACAGCTGGGAAAGGCTGCTACCATGATCCCTCCCAAAGTGATTACCTTGAGTTAAGGGCAAAACTTCAAACCAAGCCAGATTACCTAGAAGTCTTGGAAAAATCCTACCGATTTTAATGACTCTTTATCCTCCGGAGAAGAACAAAAAAATACAGAAATTTTTCATATGCGCTTTGCCACCGTCCAAAAAAGTCACTCAAATCAATATTAAAAGAAAATGTGTGGAGGCAGCATGAAATGAAAATGTTTTTTAAGGAGATGATGCCCCCACTCCCACGTAAAAATCTCCATGGAGAAAAAGGTCATTCTCAGATGTTTAAATTAAGTGCCTTTTTTTCAGAGTAGCCAGCAATGTCAACCATTATTTTTATAATATAAGAATATCTCTATATGCCCTCAAGAAAGCAAACGAGGAAAAAAAATGGGCTCTGGGAAATAAAACATACAAACCATGTTACGTCTGTCTCTAAAATCCATTTGAATGGAGTTAACACAATGTGCTACTAGTAACCATGTGGACGAACGGGAGCTGGACGTCTCCCTTACTTTTTGCTTTTTTTTCTTTGTTTTTCCTGTCTTTTACCCCTCACCTAGGATGTACAAACACCAAGAATCTGTGCACATTTTTTTGTAGGACATTATCAAAAGAGTCTAAAAAGTACTTATATTCAAACTGAACTGCAGTTTGCTGCATGCACTCGCTTCAGTGCAGGAAGTGAGAGGATTACTATCACATCACTCTATGAACTCTATACAGCAACACATTTAAGGTTCAGTGTTGTATTTGATTTTCTTTTATATCTTAATATGGTTATTACTATTAATGAAGACATATGTCTATATCAGGGTGCTTCTTGTAAAGAAAAGGAAGTCCCGGGGTAGGAATGGTAACCCAATTGTGAATATTATTACATGACCATACTGAGGTTTTTTTTTGGATTATTCCAAACTCTGTTAAAGCCCTGCCCCCTTTTCCCTTTCAATGCTTCTGGATTTCCCCTTCGCAGTCCACTAACAGCTTTGTAGTAAGCACTTTTAATGTTTTCTCTTTCACAAAGATTTGAAGAAAAATGTGCATATATTTATTCTGTAATTTCAGTGAAGAATTTTATTGTAAAGATAATGTTAAATCAATGTATAGTGATTATGCGTCTGGTATAGCCTTCTTAATAAAAACAAACACTTTAATCTAATTGATGAAGGTGTCAATGCAAATACCAATACCAGTGCAAGATGTATGGAGTGGAGACTAAAAGGTTGTGTATTTAGTGTAGGATGTTGACAGCTATTAGGTTTTGTTATGCAAAAATGCATGCCAGACCAAGAAACACTAAAAGGTAAGAAACGACCGATCATAACCCAAACTTGTTAATATCCACATTACAAGATTTGCATCCAATTTATCTGAGCTACATGAAAAACACAAATATAAAATGCTGATTAATGTTTGCTCAAATTAGGGTCTCTTTATCGTATATTAATGCAGTTTGTTTGTTTTTTCCTTTTGTTTAGTAAATTGCAGAGATTAGCTGTGTATATCCTAACGCCAAAGTAAATCAAATCATACGTTGGGTAAAGGCTGGTTTGGTGAAGATATTTTAAAAGGAAATAAGTAAGGTTGTGAGAGAGTTGTCATTATCTGAACATATATCATTGATGTACGAAATTATTTAAAAAATTAACTGCGAGGATTAGTGATAGGTATTTTTTTTTACATTTGCTCATTTCATTTTTTTTGTTCCTGCTTTCTGTTTGCTATGTGATTTTATTCCACTGGAGGGCGATACAAATGTTATTACAGAGTCACACCAGAGATTTGATGCATTTATGTTACTACATCAATCAAAATCTCTTAAAAAAAAAAATCTTTAAAAGACAAGTTTATACATGAATACTTTATATTGAATGCATAGATTTCTCTATAGCAATCACTATTTAAATAACACAGCTTTTTACTGTAAAAAAAAGAGCAAACCCTTTTTAAGCCTATTTCATCCTACAAACAATACAAATAGAATTTAAATAAAGAAACTTAAGGACGGCAACAACAATGGATTAATATACCACAGAAATCAACATTCCTACCAATTTATCTATTGTTTCTAATAGTATAATCTTATTTTGGGTGAAAACGCAATTAAGGTTTTGATGTCTTAAAATTTGTAGTAGCTATGGTGACTGTAAAAAGTTTACACATTCATGATAAAATAACAGGTTTTTGTGATGTAAAGAATTAGTCCAAGACAACTCATTTGAGAACCTTTTCCAACTTTAGTTTCATGTACAACCTGTACAATTTTTTCTACTGCTCACAGGCTTTTGGGGAAGGAATTATCTGCATGGAACAACTTGACTTGGCAACATTTTCTCACTCTTTTTTTAACCATGCATATTGTGACAGCACCATCATCTTATATTGCCTCACAGAACTTTAATGAGAATTGAGGCTGGGCTCTTGCAATACCACTCTATAAAAACTATTATAGTCTTCTGGTGAACACACACTTTTAACATTTTGATGTATACCTGAATGTTTTCTCAAACTAAAGATGACTTCAGCATTGAAGCGCATGTCTGATATTTGGTGCAAACATTGACTTTGAAATGAATCAGGATTTCCACTACATTAAATCCCCAACTCCAGCTAGTGCTGTTCTTGTCCCAAACAAACATTTCTAATTATGGCCTAAAAATCATTACCCATATTTTAAAACCATAACACATTACCAGGCATGGCTATGAAAGATTAAGCCAGGTAAAATATTTTTCTTTTCCTTCTTTTATTGAAGAGAACCCTAGCATCATTTTCATTTTACCATTGTATCTCAAAGTCTAGGCATACAGTACAAGGATCACATTCAGTAACTATTAGAAGCTCATTCAGCTCCAGTATTTTTTGTTATTTCCCTGGTTGTGGGGGAAAATACAGTTCTCTGCATTATATTTCCTACTCTTGATGTTTATTTGTTATGGTATTTATAATGGCTCAAAAAATCCTTTTGTGAACTTTCCCTGATTTGTAGCTTGGGTCTTTGTAAGATTCTTCCAATGCATAAACTGTTCAAATTATGGCCTTTGCTGTTAGATGCAACAAAAATAAATTAAAAAAAAGAAAGAAAAAAAAAGAAGAAAGAAATCATGCTAATGGTGGCAGGTATATCATTATTGATTTTTAATATGAGCATGAATGGGGTGGCCAGCACAATTGCTGGTTAAAAAAATGAGTGTGTCCACACTTTCATTTGGGTTGTACAGCTCATAGGTAATATGAAACTATTTTTAAAAATTTCAGAAATGATTTGTCTGGCTCTCAATTCATTTAAAGGCCAAAACGGACATTTTAAACAGGAATCTGTAGTTTTTTTAATTCTCACTAGAATTTGTAGATTAATTAATTTTACCCAATGACCCCTTTGCTTTGTTTCTAATGCATTTAACAGAAGGTATGACGCTCACTTTAAATACAGTGTTATTATTCCTGATATGTGTCAACTTACAGTAATTAAAATGTAGCAAACCAACCTTTCTTTTCTGAAATATGTTCAGATATTGTTGATGAGTCATCTCCAGTATTGATTATCAGTGATCCAGTATACAAGCTTGCATTAAATTGAACATTTTATCTTGTGTTGCCTTCAATGTTCATTTATTTTTGGCAATTATTGCTGCCCAGACAAGCAAAGGACCCCTTGATATGAATCATTTAAAAGTGATTATATGAAGTGTGAAGGCTTTCTCGTTTCTACAGCTTTTGGAAAGTTTTACAGTGTTGAAAATCTTGTGCTCTGCTCTGTCCAATTAGTCTTCCTCCCCTCTGGTACATATACACATTCACACACGGAGAAATACACAAAACCTTAGTTTCCATGAATACAAGGTCAAATAATAATGTCAGCAGTTTTAGTATGCACTTAGTTTGATTAAAAGCATGATATATTACTCTATTAACCTAAACCTTTATCCTCCAAAACCCGCTGTAAAATGAATAGATTAAGTTGATAATTTTTGCTTTGCTTAGTGTCTTGGTAAACTTTTGTTTTTATATTCCCCATTGTTTAATTTATATAATTAGATTCCACAGATAAACATTAACCTTTCCGTCAAAATAGTTTTTTAGGATATTGTTTTTGTCATCCCCCCAATGATCTGCAGGATACTTCATGATGAACGTTCAATCTATACTAAGTCAGAGATTTACTAAATACTTTAACACATGTGCTGATGTTTCTCTACTACTTCTTCACAATCAGTGCAAGGTAACATTTTCATTACCATTAAATTAGTTTTTTGTCAACAGTTCTGCATCTTTGCCCTATTTATGTTCTGTATTTTAGTTTGTTTTTATTTTTAGTTTAGATAAAAGACAACATCATGGTCTAACCATCAATCTTACACTGGATAATGATTGCATATTACATAAATGTTGATTACAAGTTCATTTTTCATTTTCTTAAGATTTAGTTTGACCCTATTCTTGACTTAAGAAGCTTCTTAAACAAAAGTAGAAAGAGAACACTATGCAGGTGTTATGTAAGGGAAAGAATTTGGAAAACTGTTTTAGATAAAGATTATTATTCTATTATTTGCAAAAGTATTGTTATTTTAACAATGCGTGCTCACCAATACTTTTCTTGACAAGCAATTCTTTATCTGCTGTGCGAGATGGTATTGTTATGACACTGGTTTTGTTAATTCTTTGGGAAATATGAGGTGCCCTAAGCCTATTATTAGAGCTTCTCTGGGCTCCTGCGACAACTGTTAACTCAGAACAGTCATTAATTTTCTGTAACTGTGCTGAGGAAATTTTTGGAGCAAAATTGATAATGGGACAATCTAAAAGTGGAAACGTCTCACAAGCTTGGTGTAGTGTGATGTTTTCCTCCTCCTTTCTTATGTTTTTCTTCTTTGCATCTGATGTGTTATGGCCTCTGGTTGTTGTTTGGCTGGTATTTCACTGCACTGCACATTGGAGGAAAAATGCTGTCATTGCACAGCTATGTGTGTTTGTGTGCACATGTGTGTATGTGACTGATTGTGTGTCATTTTCTTCCCCTCACTTCTGCTCCACTGGTTGTTTGCTAATTTGTTTTGTGGTTATTTTAGAGAGAAAATTGGCTTAGACCTTGATTTGGAATGGCAAGAGGGATTCTCTTTTTGAGTGCACTATTAGAGGTTTGGGCACAGAAAGATAAATAGCTGAGTAAGTCTGACAGAATGTTTCCTCAACAAAAGGAGCTTTGTAAATGTGTGTTTTAAAGAAATATAGAATATTGTTTAGTTACCTAAAAATTTGTATTAATAGAAACATTGGAAATGTAGTGACGCTGTATTTTGTTTGTATTTTTGTTCATGTGATTTCCTTTATTAGAGTGAAATTGAAAAAGGGCTTCAGTTTGCAAAAAATGAAAAACAAAAGCTACGTTCTATCACAGTCATAAGTATAGCAGTTTGGTGCTTGTCCTACATAGAGAATGAATGTTCTAATTCTCGTAAATTAATATTTGATAGTAGGTCTAGGGTAATACAGTGAAACTTTTTGTTTTGCCTCTATATTTGTCTGGCTGCTATGAAAGTGCTGTGATACTCACTCTTGTTTCTACTTCAAGACATGGTGTGCACAATATTATTTATCAATCTTGTTGTGTTTTAAAAGTGGAGGTTTAAAAGTCCCCTTCTGGTCTCATCATTGCAGATCACCTTTTGACATCTATAACGAAAAACGGTGGATTTTTAGCTTTAATTCAACATTCCAAAAAGAACACTTTTTTCGTGTGGCTTATAGTTTTCTTGTTAATGAATTTTGCCAACTGAACTATAGCATTCTGTTGCTAATCCGCAGGAGTTCTAAGTCCTTTCCCTTAACTATGTTCTTGTCATCTGGTTGGTTGGGTAGAATGAAGGACCATTTCTTGATAGGATTACAGTTGTTCCATACCTTTGATCGATTGTTGCAGTGAAGAGAACCTCTTTGAATCGACCTTAATTTATAATCTAATGCTGTTTTAAACTTCTTAACAGCTTTATCTGTGATCCGTCTGCTGTTTCTTCATTTTAAAGAACCTGGTTTTTCATTGTTGCTTTCTAACATATCTTAGCCTTTACGGAACAGTTTAAATTGTACTGAGACCTCATTAATTTTTATTGATAAAGGTGACCTAAGAAGGCTGCTGGATTTAAAAAGAAAATTCCGGTGGGAATCGGAGTACATTTGGGCTACATAATCATTTATGCCAGAATACACTGAATTGCATTTTATATTTATTGTGACACAGTGTCAAAAATGTAAGGGTTATGAATACTGTCACAAGTTAGTGCTTTAAATCTTAGAATTGTCCAACTGTATGTGTGATATTGCATAAGCTTTTCCATACAATGCTACATGAACAGAGAAGTTAAAGACATTTGGGAAATCCATTACATGCAGTGGTCTATGTCCTGAGATCATAAAAAAAAAATAAAGAAAAAACATTTTAACCAATTTAGTTGACTGTGCTGCAGTGCAAGAGCACAACTGACCCAGTAAAGCAAGGGAGAGAGATGGAGAGTTTGACGAGTAGTAAAAAGAAATGGTAGCAGGCAGCACTAGAGTGACAAATAGGGAAGCAGGGTGATTCTCAACCCTACCCCCTCTGCTGCCATGTGTGTTATAAAGCTTTGCAGTTGTATTGTTTGGCTTGTGAGTTCTGGTTCCCTTGAGACTGTGGTTCTCTCTCCTGTATGGGAAAAAATACTGCAAGTTTGGAGAAAGTAGCAGCTGTTTGTGCTGCTCAGCAGAGTACTACAGCCGCAGCTTTTGTGCATGAAACAGATTAAGAAATCTATGTCCTTATCACTCTTCCCAGGGAGAGAGGGAGAGGAGAAATACATTTATAAAAAAAGAATATGGAGCATGGTGTCCCTAGCTGGTGTGAGGAACAGTCCATTTCTCTCTTTGTTCTGCAGTGTGGGGCCTACTTTGTGTTTTTAAATGGCCTGTAATGAAATTCTATGGACTACTGCAGTGGACCTCTTCTCATATCCCTCCTCTTTCTAATGAGGTGACATTTGCACACTCATTCATCTTAATGGCTCTAAGATGTCACGAGGTGTAAAAATGTTCACTTGATTTGAACTCTGCAGGAACTTTTTTCCGTTTTCCCCACACTATTACAGAGTTGGTAAATGCTCATATATCCCCTTTCCGAATTGCTCTACTTTTGCATCTTTGTCAGTATTAAAAGTTTCAGATTATCAAACTAATTGTAAAGTTTGATATTGCATGACTCGCAAATAAGGTCATGCCACTACATCTTTATTAAAGTTGAGAAAAGAATTTAACAAGACAACTCCAAACTCTTTATGAAATTCATGATTCGATAGTCAGGCATAACCATTCAGGATTTACTGCTAGAGAGCAAAGATTCAATCTGCTAACTAGCAGTAAATCCATTCAATCATAATTAATTATTGCAAGTGTTGTTTCTAGGCAGTTAAATGATCACACTATCACCACCATGTGTGGTTGTTGGTTCTTTTTCTGAAAGTGTGTCTGGATGTAACCATCTAAAAGGTTCCACTTTTATGTCATCAGTCTACAAAATATTTTTTTTTTAAATCACTTTCATAGGGAATGTGAGATGAGTCTTTATGTTTAATTTGGTCAACTTTAGACTTTGGCTTTAAAACTCTGCCATGGGTATCATTTTAGCCTTAGTGTTATATCATGAAAACTGAAGTTACTGCAAGTCCGATAAGTGAAGTCCGTTGTGCTTTAGCTTCTTTCACGACCTCTTGAGGGAATTGTTGGTAAGAGTTATTGATGAATCATGTTTGTCTGCTTACAACTTTGAAGTGGCTTTTTAACAATTCCATACTAATAGAAACCAAAACTTTGGTTCTTAAAATATTGCGCTACACTGTGGATTTGTCTAAGGTTTCTCCTTTTATAAGAGGTTTGGTAAAAGCAGGGATTCTTCCTTCCCAGTAGCTCAATTTTAAAGACACTCTTGACATTCTCAGAGGGATCCCCTCCCCAGATTCAATACAAAAAAACTTTCTAAGCCCGTATCTGCCAGGTTATCAGTTTCATACCACTCACCTGTTTCACATGCTATTAAGCTCATGATTTTTACTTGATCTCGGCTTAATTACTCCGATTGCCTGCTCATTGCCATGATTTTTCTGTTGTTCTGCCTATGATCCATGTTTATGGTTGTCCTGTGGCTTTCTATTTTCTTAGTAAACAAAAACAAAAAAAACCCACTCATCTATCTTTCCTTTTTATTCGTTGGTCCTGCTGAAAATCCACATATTTTTCAAATCAAAAATACTTAATAAAATAAAAAAATAAATACTCTGAACTTTATTGATCTCACAAGGGAGAAATTAACTCCCTACATTTAACCCATCCCCTCTGGGAAGCAATGGGCTGCCACTGTGCAGCACCTGGGGAGCAATCAGGAGTTAAGGATCTTGCTCAGAGAGCCAGAGAGGCAGTCTGTGGGAGTGTGTTTCAAACTCACAACCTCAGGATTCCAAGCCCTATGCCCTAACTACTAGCCCACCACTCCAGTTTTTTATTATTATTATTACTCCTAAAGGGATATTGAATGTTGAAATAACTGGTCTGCCTTTGTTAAAGGAGTTGTTGTTGATGTGGATATCTCCCGGAATGGGCTGAAGACACTGTTAGTGATTGAGACATAGCTATGGTGTTTCTGACATATTTTTACCATTTTCAGTTTGTCAGAAAGGTTATATTTATCTACTAAGTATACGTTTCTGGTATCTTTGATGTCTCTTTTATTAGGTTTAAGTATTGTTCGTTAATTTGCTCTTAGCAATGTAAAAATACGGCAAATCATATTTTATTTTGCCGTTAATGTTTTTTACATAATATCATGTTCAAAGGGACATACTTTTAGTATTATGAATGGCATTTTATTTTAATAGTTATGTCTTTGAATAGGAAATTCATCTGATGGTTTACCACTGAAAAGGGTTATCATTAAAGGCTCAAATACTCTCTTGCAGCACTGTATTCAACCCTATACATAGCCATCCATGTGTCTTGTGCTCATATGGGTAAAGAGCTTGCTGCTGAACTACAGCTGTTCCTACTTCTGAGTAGGTGGTATATAGATAATGTTCCTATGACACCTTTCCATCATGTAGTCTGTGCTCTACTTTAGCTGTAGTGCTTCATTTAGACCTGATCTCAGGAGAAGGTGCTGTATGTTTGAGTTGTTCCATCGGTGTGTAACTTTCTCTCCTGTCATTTGCATCACTTCCTTTCAAGTGGATTCCTATTTTAGATTACATGAATTTTAGTGGAGACAGAGACCAAAGATTTTAACTTTAAATGAAGGCTGATGAACACCGCTGTATTTTATGTTTCAGTGTTTAAAAATGTAGCCTCTCCTCTCACATATAAATGGCTTAGTCATTCAAGGCCTCATGTTGATTGCTTGATGGCTGATGCACTTGTTTTTTCAAACTATAATCCTTCTTGTGTTAAAGTAACCTTCAGGGGGGTTTATAGCTGCTGTAAATTTTTAAAATTTCAGCAATCTGATAAAAGCACAACAATGCCTCCATACAAAAACATCAAAGCATGCATGAAATCTGTTGCAGTAAA